GAGAAAGAAATTAAATTCCTCGATTTTAAAAAAAATTAATAATCAACCTGCCCTATTATTATTATTATTATTATTATTATTATTCTTTCAAATTTTTCACAAAAGATTTCAGCTACTATGCTATTGAATTCTGTTTACACGTACATATCTATATGCAAATTATAATGAATTATTTACATAAATTATTTACATAATACACAGCAGTTGGCAACCGATTGTGGAAAGCTTATCGGAAGAGTCACTTCCTCGTCGAATTAAATACAGAATTTAATTACAGAAATTAAATTCCTTACAAAAATTATTCTTTTTTTTAAAAAAGAAAGCGTAATAAAAAAAAAGTGAAAGACACCAAGTGCTAAAATTTCCTCGATTAATCCCATCGATATAAATCGAGCGTACAAGTTCGTTAAAAAGATTGTTCGAAACAGATTATTCGTATTATAACATACTTCAAGGTTAAACCCCGTGGAAAGATAATTTTTGACAAGTTCATGACATGTGTGTACGGTCAACAACCTGTATAAACAATCGATATCACTATCACACTAATACACGTGCAAACAGATAATTTGTAAAATACATTTTACAAGTAATTTAAAAAAAATTGAAATCGTTAAAAGTTTCTCGAGGGGGAAAAAAAAACACGAGGAAAAATTACAATTGTTATCGAATTTAGAGAGGAAGTCTTCTTACCGCAATTCCAAACCATTTCGTTGCTTTCTAACCAACAGCACCAGTTGGACGTGTACACGGAACCACTTCCACCGATGAAATAAGTGGAAGCGATAACCGTGTTAACTTCACCCACGAAAGACAATGTGCATCGTAGATACACATCGATACAACTCTCTGTTGACAGTTGATTAGCTACACTGCCGCAACGAAAATTGCTCAACCGAATGACGGCCTAGAGTAAATAACACTTTACGCTCGCGCGACAATCGGAATGCAAATATCCTCCCTTCCAATTTTATTCCCCGCTTAGGATCAATATTTTTGAAACGATATATATATATATATACACGTCGCAGGGGAGAAACAAATTTTTTCATCCGTTTTAACGAATCATAGATATTTTGAAACGCCCTGTACATCGATATACGTATTCGTTCCTTATTACCATAAAGGAATACGAGGCGAATAATATCGTATCGTTTGTAATGCTGGTTATTTTCAACTTCAATTTTTTTCAATAAATCTTTCGTTCGAGTGCGAAGATAAGGTAGAAAAAAAAAAAGGGGGAAAAAAAGAGGATACAAAGACGCCGCTCATGACCCGGTTATTGGAAATCATGATGGTGGAAACATAATTCCGCTTGAAATTTCCTGGAATCGGTTGTAAATTCGTTTTACGATCGGCACGCCTGTGGAAAATGTAGAATTTCAATGGCAACCGGCCGTTTTGCACGACGCCACTCAGGAATTACACTCGCGTAACGATAGATCGGGATGAGGATCGATCGTAAATCAGAACGTCACCTTGCCACGCGCAAGGTAGCCGTGTACACCGTGCTCATGGAGATAACGTCGGATGCAGGAGGATCCAAAGTCACGGAGCAAATCACTCGACGCGAGTCCACAAACGTTGTTCCTTCTGTCGTGCGCAATTTCGCAATGCGTTGGAAGTCGAATCGTTGGAATGCGAGATATCGAATGCTTCCGTTGACAGTGTTACAGAACGTTTCAAAATTTGTGGCCCCGATTTAATTTTTTAACGGGAACGGATAACTCTCGGATGCTTCTCGATTTCGAGATTAAGGAATTTCGATTATTGAGAATTCTATGAGTCGGTTGATTACAGAGTGTTTCAAAATTTATGCTTCCAAACGATTTTGAAGGTAAAGATGAATATAAGGTTTTTGAAGGTTTGGAAATTTTTATTAGAAAATTGATTATCGAGAATTTTTGATCGTTGATATTACAAGGTGTTTAAAAATTTTATGTTTCTGATTAAATTGAGATAAAAATTGAGACAAAGATGAAATAAAGAATGCTGCAACTTTCACGAACACGTTCCCGGTCATAAAAGCGTCGAATAATTATAAATAATTCTCATAATTATATATAAAACGTTTCAAAATAAAATAAAAACTATAGAGTGAACATCAACAATTAATCAATTAATGATCTTTTCACAAATATTTCCAATCAATACAATAGCATCCAACGATTATAAGCCTGCCAAATGATTCTCGTTAGTATACAGGACGTTTCAAAATAAAAAATTATAGAATACATACGATAATTAATCAATGATCGTTTCCAGACATGATTTCAATCAATATAACAGCATCCAACGATTATAAGC